CATTTGGAACGCGCCTGCAATTCATGGAGCGCGATGGTTGTAAATTAAAACAGATCTCCGTTCAACTCGGGGCTGGGCCATCAGCAAATGCCGACCAATTTTTCCCCTCTCCTTAGTCGATCGCTACCGAGACCCGAGCGAACAGGAAACCCTGGCGCTTGAGTTATTTACTTTCGGCGTGCAGCATAGGAGGCATCGAGTTGATGTTGAGTTGGATGTGGCCGTAGAAAGAGGTCAATAAAGCAGGGATGCCAGGGTGTCAAGGAAGGTCTGGGTGTGCTCGGAGCACGTCTGCAACTCATGGAGCCAGGTCGAACTGAACGCAGATTCCCCTGTTCGACTCGGGGCTGGGCCATACATAATCTGAGGGGCGGAGACATTTTTTTTCTGACGCAAATTGCCCTAGCGAGGGATAGCCTCGGCGTTGAGTTTTTTGGGGTTCGAGGGTTGATCTTGGGTGTACGTGGATTCTACGCGATGGAGCCAGCGAGTTGAGAGATGTTGAACTGATTCTCGGCTTCAAAGATTCGTTGAAAGAGATACAACCGAAGCGGGACCTGGAAGAGGTTGAGGAGGGCTTGATCATGCTTGGTGCGCGTCTGCAACCCGTGTGGTATCAACTCTGGTTCAACGCAGACCCCGTTCGACCCGGGACTTGGCCATGGAAACGCTCCGAGTGGTATTTTTCCTCTTCCCTTGGCTGTTCGCGTCCGGACTCGGTAGTATCAGCGAGCGACAAACTCCGGCGCCAGCGTTCATTTGGTTTGGGGTGCAGCAAGGATTGTTGAGAGTGGAGCGCAAGGTTCAGTTAAAATAGACGTCGACGAAGCCTAGAAAGGTGTCGAGGAGGGCTCGGTTGTGTTTTCAACCCATCTGCAATTCATACATATGGCATATATACTGTGTAAAAACTGGTTTCATGCAACTTCAACTTTTAACCCCCGAATTTCACCACAACTTGGGGAAAAGTGCCTGAATGCCTGCAACTTCCGGTGCAGGCAAGATTTTTGCATGCAACTTTGATTGCAGGCACATTTTTCCCTGCCAGTTTGCCCTTACTGCTCAGGTTGAGATGCTCTCCAACTCTAGCCCGGCGAGGGTTCCGAATTGATCTATTTGATGGCAACATCAAATGCCGGAATTGCCGATGCATCAAATCCAGAATTCACCTGTGCTTCGCTTCAAGCTTCATCCTTGGAGGTCAGTCTTGGTTTTGACATCGCTTGATATGCTCACCGAGCTACTCCCGTCAGGAAGTCGGGCGCGGTGCGGCGCACTTCCGCGTGTTCGCGCGGGTGTATATGGCCGCTGAGAGAGATTGCCATTCACGGTTCGTTCCCAACATCCCACAGTCACGGCGGAATCCAGTGCGGCACAAGTGCGGCACCTTGGCGGCACCGTAGGTATCTTTGTCTGGCCTCTCTAACGCACCACCACTCTGTTTCCGGGCGGCGATCGTAACGTTCACTCTCCACAGTCATATTCATAATTCCCCGCCGTCTTGATTTCTCTAGAGACAATCCCTGGCGCTGCCAGCAAATCCAGGATTACTGTTGTGTTTCGTACGGAAAGAAACATACTTGAATAAACTTCGGCTCGAGTCGGTATCGGCGACGCCGTGTGAATTCAAATCTAACCTCCTGTGAGGCCGAGGGTTTGGAATGGCTGAATATTCGCAGGTAGTTATTTAATTCAGTTTTCACCCGTGAATGCGGTGGAGAGAAGGAACCACAACACCCAGTAATGAGCACCCCGCCGAGGAAAAGGTGTATGATGGTGCTCGCGGGTGGTGCAGGAAGGTCTTGCATTTTCTGGTCTCATTTCGGGTTCGTCATTGGTGCCGATATTGGGCGATATGATATGGGTTTAGATAAATAAGTAATCATGGGTACCCCTAGACCATACTAGACCCCCATTACTTCATACCTTTGGCCACACCAGGTGTTGGTTTGTCGCCACTTTGTTTGCGACTACTAACACGGTTATAGTGTTTAACACCTTGGGTACTGCCAGAATATCCCACAACTGATTCCTCTCGAGCGGGGGGAATTCAAAGGCAGGTAATCCTTGATACCCAATCTGCGCCACTGCGGCTCAATATTGAGAAGAAGGGGAGTTGAATAAGAGAACTTTACCGTCCATTTATCATTCTTCCTTGAGAATAACAGCCTGTGGATGGCGCCTGGCGCTTCAAATTCGACTTGGATTGTTCCACTGTCCCCAGGTTTCAACGGGTACACCAGGAATTGAGTACGGACCAACGTACTGGACTTTCAATGGAGGCACCTCCAGTATTTCTCCTGGGAAGACCTTCATGGTGGCCTCTGCCCCACTGTCAGGATCGGGGAAATCGATCGCGATGGTCGCCACCGGCGTGTTAGGTGTCTGCGCCGAAAAGAGGTTCCACTTCGAGCGGGAACCTTCGATGTAGAACTGCTCGGCGGTCGCGGGGATGACATTTTGAGGAACGAGGTACCTTTTGGCCATGGTGCTGAACTGAGGGGGGAACTTGAAGTCTGAGTGATATGTATTGGAACACCGAATCTGCCTCCTCTTATAGGATTTAGGTACAAGGGCGAGGCTGTGAGCTGTTGCTCATTTGTGGCAACTTCGGGCGCACCGGGTCACAGAGGCCGTTTACTCGACTGGCCACAGTGTGTACACTCGCTTATCTCGGTGGCGCAAACAATGTGGCACACTGGCCCAAGACAACAAGGGCCCCAATAAAAGCAAGCACATAGCTTTCATGGTGACGACGTAAGGCCGCTACCGTTCAACGAATGCGTAGTGACCGCGCCAGGCTAGACTCATCCTGAAGTTCCCGTCAAGCTTTTGCCCGCGCTCCGGTTTCAATCGCCGTTGTCGGATTGAAAATGCACAAATTCCACAAAAGCAAAGAAAAAACACAGTTGCTAGCGACAGTGACGCGTGGATTGGCCGGGGTCAAACCCGGCTCTCCGCCTGTTCAACCAGAACAGCAAGAACATGAAGCAAACCGTTCAGGTTGAAAAATGACAATCTGAAGAGACATCAGCTGAGCACCGGGAGCTGCACCCCTCTAATCCAGGTGTCAAGCCAGAAGAAGGGAGTGTGCACCGTCTACCACGCGTCGAATCGAGGGAAGGAAGAAGGCTCGCCCGTGTGTATTCTCATCGTACGTTGTGAGAGCGGGGCAAAGTCTTCGAGTTGAAATTCCACGGCGCAAAAACTGTCTAGCTGGATCGACTTAGTCAGGCGCCGAGAGTCGAACCCGGTTCTCTCCCTGCACAGTTGGAATTGAATTCAAGCATAACGGAAGGGAGGGTGCCGGGAATGTGCACCCCACACCCCGCCTGGATTTTCCTCCTCCCATTCCTCGCGCCAATATCTTACCCTCCGAGTTGGATAGATCCACAACCTTCCAATTCTCCGGCCTGATTCAAGTTCAACTTGTCGTCAGCACCTGAAACTCGTCCGGTTGAAATTCCAGGGTGCAAAACCTGACGTCGTTCGACTGAGTCAAGCGCCGGGAGTCGAACCCGGTCATCTCCCAGTTCAAGACACCCGGCGTGAGGTAGGAGAGGGAGTGTGCGCCACGCACCACACCCAATTGTGTATTCTTCACAATCACCCAACTGAGTACACTTATGCAATGCAACTTTCCTGCATGTCGGAGTTGTCGGTGCGAGAAGTAAAACAACCGCCTTCGCCGCGTCTGAGATCTGAGGTCTTAGGCGGGCGCCGGGAGTCGAACCCGGTCCTCTCCCTTTGCAATGTCAGAGGCACCCGAAGGAGAAGGAGCGTGCACCACGCACAACGCCCGTGCATACATACCCTACCCAATCAACCGCTAACCGTCAGTCGAAAAGTGGATTCGAGAGAAGAAAAAGTTGCATGGCTCAATACGAAGTCATTGGCCGCCGGGAGTCGAACCCGGTCCTCTCCCATCGAGACCGAAACCACCATCACCGCGCACCACGCCCGCGTGTTCCCTGTGCCTATGCCGACTGAATATCCTATATCCTACCGAGTTGAACTCCGATCCTCAGTATCTTCAGGTCGTCGTCCGCAACTGAAGCTCGTTGGGTCGAAATTCAACGGCGCAAAAACTGCGACTACTAGCCTCTTCAGTCAAGCGCCGGGAGTCGAACCCGGTCTTCTCCCTTTGCAATCTCAGAGGCATCCGAAGGAGAGGGAGTGTGCACCACGCACCACGCCCGATTGCGGTCCTGCGTCATTCCTCAACTGAGAGTACTATGGGACCTCCCAATTCCTTCCTTCAAGTTGTTGGTTTGAAAGGGGGGAGGCATTCGAAAAAGAAATGATTACACCGCTCCAACCAGGCGCCGGGAGTCGAACCCAGTCTTCTCCCTGTTCAAGCCATCCGGGACGAAGCCAAGAGTAGGGAGCGTGCGCCACGCACCACACCCGTGTGTACCCCTTCCTACTTCAACCAAATATCCTATATCCTACCGAGTTGGACTCCGATCCTCAGTATCTTCAGGTCGTCGTCCGCAACTGAAGCTCGTTGGGTCGAAATTCAACGGCGCAAAAACTGCGACTACTAGCCTCTTCAGTCAAGCGCCGGGAGTCGAACCCGGTCTTCTCCCTTTGCAATCTCAGAGGCATCCGAAGGAGAGGGAGTGTGCACCACGCACCACGCCCGATTGCGGTCCTGCGTCATTCCTCAACTGAGAGTACTATGGGACCTCCCAATTCCTTCCTTCAAGTTGTTGGTTTGAAAGGGGGGAGGCATTCGAAAAAGAAATGATTACACCGCTCCAACCAGGCGCCGGGAGTCGAACCCAGTCTTCTCCCTGTTCAAGCCATCCGGGACGAAGCCAAGAGTAGGGAGCGTGCGCCACGCACCACACCCGTGTGTACCCCTTCCTACTTCAACCAAATATCCTATATCCTACCGAGTTGGACTCCGATCCTCAGTACCTTCAGGTCGTCGTCCGCAACTGAAACTCGTTGGGTCGAAATTCTTGGGCGCAAAAACCATATTCCTACTCTATCGATTCGGGCGCCGGGAGTCGAACCCGGTCTTCTCCCTGTTCAAGCCATCCAGGGGACCAAACAAGAGTAGGGAGCGTGCACCGCGCACCACGCCCGATTGTGTATTCTCCACAATCCCCCAACTGAGTACACTTATACAATGCAACTTTCTTCCGTGTCGAAGTTGTCGGTTTGAACAAAGGGGGGTATGCGAGTAGGAAAACAATTGTCTACGCTCCGCCCTAAGCAGGCGCCGGGAGTCGAACTCGGCCTTCTCCCATCGACACGGAAACCACAATCACAAGGAGAGGGAGTGTGCCCCGCGCACCACGCCCGCACATACCTGTGTTCTACGTCGATACCGAGCTTGTGTCCAACTTTCTGCCCAGTGGTTGGAATGTAAGGCAGAAAAAAAAAATGTTTTCAAGATACTTGATTATCCTTGGGCGCCGGGAGTCGAACCCGGTCTTCTCCCTGCTCAATTCAAACTACAGCAAACAGGAGGGAGCGTGCCCCGCGCACCACACCTGCATATGTCCTCTTCATATGTCGGTACCGAGCTGAATTGAAATTTTCTTGGGTCTTTCAGGCCGTTGAGAGCGGAGGAAAGTCTTCAGGTTGGAATCCAAGGGAAGAAAAAATGCCTCTACTCCACCGTTACAGTCAGGCGCCGGGAGTTGAACCCGGCCTTCTCCCATCAACACGGAAAGCACCATCACAAGGAGAGGGAGCGTGCACCGCGCACCACGCCCGTACATTCATATATTCATACCTTACCCGAGCTGCCAAGGAAGCAAGTTAAAAAGTGGATTCAAGCGAAGGAAAAAGCCGAGTTGCTTTTTGATAGTCATTGGGCGCCAGGAATCGAACCCGGTCCTCTCCCTGTTCAAGCTATCCAGAACGAAACAAGAGTAGGGAGTGTGCACCGCACACCACGCCCGTGTGTACCCTGTGCCTATGCCGACCGAATATCCTATATCCTACGGAGTTGGACTCCGAGCCTCAGTATCTTCAGGCCGTCGTCCACAACTGAAACTCGTTGGGTCGAAATTCAACGGTGCAAAAGCGATTCTGCAGGTCTTGATTCAGTCAGGGCGCCGGGAGTCGAACCCGCTTCTCTCCCAGTTCAAGCGATCCTGGATGAAGCAAGAGTAGGGAGTGTGCACCGCGCACCACGCCCGATATTCATGCCTTACCCGAGCTGCCAAGGAAGCAATCAGCTGAAAAAAGTGGATTCGAGAGAAAGAAAAAGTTGCATGACTGTCAAACAACTATTGGGCGCTTGGGAGTCGAACCCGGCCTTCTCCCATCGGCACGGAAACCACGATCATCACAAGGAGAGGGAGCCTGCACCGCGCACCACGCCCGTGTGTTCCCACCTCACAGGTGAATCGGCCAACCTACCAAATCTGTTGGGTTGTATATTCAACCTTCCGATTTCCCGGTTGTCGTCAGCATTTGGTGTGCCAGTCGGCCCAGTCCCCAGGTTGACATTCAGACGAAGAGGAAAAAGCATTTGTTTTACCGAAAACTATTCAGGCGCCGGGAGTCGAACCCGGTCCTCTCCCTGCTCGTTGAGAAGAGGTACCTAGGAGGAGGGAGTATGCACCGCGCGCCACGCCCGATATTCCCACTTACTGTCGCGCTCAAGTAACGTCCAATACCCGCGTCCGCCGTCCACATCAAGCTGAATTCAACCCACCCTCCTCAAAATTCGTTCGAAATTATTTCCAACTCATTGAACACCCTCGCACACAGACAGGAGAAGAGCAGCGAACAAAACCCATATATAACGACAACAGCCCAAGAGAGGATAAGTACATACATATGTATGTATGTACGGACGTTCGAGGAAGGTGAAGGGAGGGAAGGGGAGATATAGAGATATGGACACGACGAAGGTAAGGTAAGGTATAGACAAGAAAGATTTGACAGGAGGGATATGTACATGCATGTCCACACGCAGAATATAAACGAGCACAGAAGGGAATATAGACACGAGTAAGCGGGATATGTACACGCAAGCAGGGAAGGACGAGAGGGAGCAGGGAGTGAGTATGAGGATAATTCCGCGGATGATGGATGACTTTTGAGGGAGAGGAGGGAGAGGAGATAACGCAACGCAACGATGGAACGCAAACGAGGGAAATATGTAGGAGGGAGGTAACACAACGCAACACAATACAGACGAGAGGTAACGCAGGTGGATTCCGGGATCGAGACACGGTCGAGACGAGGAAGGGAGGGAGGTAACGCAGGCGGGAGAATAGATAGCGCAAACACGCAGACGATAGATAGCAAAAGAAGCGTGCAACCTGAAAGAAGCAAGGAAGGAAGGGATACACGGACGGATAGACGGACCGATACAGACTGATGAAAACAGAGAGAAGCGAGAAGAGAAGCGAGGCAAGGCGAGGCAGCGGCGGCCGCGCATCGATGACGCGTGGGTGTGCGCGTGGGTCCACGCGCGCCGGATGCACGAGGGGAGGAGAGAGGGGTGGCGTATCGATGGCGCGAGATGGTGGGTGGGTCGCGCGTGGGTGGGTCGGTGGAGAGTCGGATGGATGGGAGGGATGGAAGGAGAGCGCGCAGAGGCCGCACATCGCCCAACATCAGTAACATCAGTGTGCGCGCACTCGATCGCGCGCGATCCGCGATCTGCGTACCACACCGTCAGTCAGCATCGCGCCGCCCTCCCAAAACACGCATCTGTGTACGCACCAACACCTCCCTACGAGGTAAACCTCCTCCCCACGCCCGGGCGCTGCCCCCCACCCCCACTGTGCCCTCCCCCTCCCCCACTTTGTTGACTGCGCTTGCCGGCCCAATACGCCTCCCACTCGACCAACGCGCGGGCAAAGCCCTCGTTCGGCTTTGCGCAGGCGCGTTTGCGCTTGACGAAGGCGAGGGCGGCGGGGTAGGACATTGCGTGGTTGCGGATTAGGTAGGCGATTATTATTGAGGTGGAGCGGGAGACGCCCTGCGCCGCGTTAGTGTCTCCATGCAAGAAGGGTGGGGGAAAGAGAAGGAAGAATGGGGAGAAGAGGCAGTACACGCACCTGCTGACAATGCACCAACACCCCCTCCCCCCTCCCCAACGCGCGCTCAATCCACACACACGCCGCCTCCAAATGCGGCCTCAGATCCACACTCGCCTTATCCCTTATATCCACGCTAAACGTCGAAAAACCGTCCTCCGGCAGGGCAGGGGGCGCCCACGCGGCCTCGAGCGCCTGCACCAAATGGGTGACGCCGTGCGCGCGCAGGAGGGGGTGGTCGTTGGAGGCGGAGAGGGAGCCGAGGTAGAGGGCGCCGCTCATGCGCGGCGGCGCTTGGTGTTGCTGACCAGGGCCGTAGGGGGCGTAGGGCGAGGCGGAGGAGGGGTGCGTGGGTGCGGGGGGGAGGGGCACGGGCGGGAGGATCTGGTGCATGGGCGTGCACATCGCCTGTACGACCTCGGGCGGGAGGGTGTCGAAGCGGATCATCGTTTTCGCGCCTTTTGCCTTGTCGTTGTCCTTGACCTTTTGCTGGAGGGCGGGGATCCCGAGGACGAGCGCCGACGCCGACGAGGATGTGGGGGAGCGGGATGGGCAAGCGGATGTGGCAAGCAGCGTGACGCTGAGGCTGACGCAGGATTTGATGGACGGGTGTCAACGTTTGACAGGGCCTGGACCGGGTGCAGTTGTTCAACCTCCCTCCCTCCCGCGCTTAACGCCGCAGCTCTTCAATGCATTACGCACCGGTACGAAAAACCCGCGGGCACGCGACCCAGATACAGCTTATATATGTTCAGTCCGACTCCCAGACGCACGGAAGCAGGCCAAGACGCGCACATGAGCAGAGGACAAGCAGAGGAACAATTTGGGAACAATGCCCACCGGCAGCGCTCCATTGACGGCTTCTCTGAGTTTTCTGGCAGGCTGAATGGGATCCAACTGCCAGGAACTCAAAGAACTCAGGACCTCAGGACCAGCTGACGATGGTTCCTCGTGCCCTGGGTCCCTGTGCCTAGAATCATTGAAGTTCTTGTTCTAATCAGCTGTGACGTCGGCGGGAAGGCGCGCGAAGTTCGAAATGGAAATCAGCTCGGCGGTTTTCACGATACCTGGTACCCGGTACTGCAGTGAAAAAATTCGCCTTTCCTGAACTATGCCCCACTCCCGGATCGAACGGGATCCCTCAGTAGACTGCCTATCTCATCGTCGACGAGACAGAAAGATTCAAGATCGACGGGGCTCTCAGGAATACTTGCTCGCGCGACGATTTCCCGCGTCCGGTTGAGGAGAATGAAAAAGGGGGGGGAAAAAACAGCGCAACACTGATGGATTGCAGGTGGATGGCCCGGCCCCGAGTCGAACGGGAGGTCCGCATCAACTGGCGATCAATCCAAGCGATGAATCAGACGCGCACCGAGCGCAACCAGGCCTTCCTCAAATAATGTCTGTCGCGGGTTCATCCGTATGGGCGGTATACTGTCTCATAAATACCTCAGATTGTTGAAAAAAACAATGTCACTGTTGCGACGTGATGTGAGGGCCGATGCGAAAAAAACGCGATGCGCCCCACTTGCAGCGGTTTAAAACGTGATGAATCTTGTCCTTGAACCTTTGCCATTTATACCCGCCTGACGGGGCGGAGTTTGATCCATTCCCGAAGCCGATGGGCGGATCAGATGGCATTTGAGAGAGGGCAAGGGATCTTGAGATTACAAGGGCGGAATCTCCTGCGCTTCTAGCTAACCAGGTGTAGTCCCTGATAACTTTGAGTACTCCATGACATAACAGTGGGTCTGCCTCAAACTCGGTCGGCTTACCCTCGGACCTCGGTGACCGGTGAGTCTTCACCTGCGTGCCTCAAGGGTTGCTCAAGGGCACATCATGGAAAAATTACAGGAGCATATGGTGTGCTCAGCTGGGAACTGCAAGTCCCAGTTGAGGTAGAAATATCCACTCTGCCGTCGGTCGTGAATGCGCTTGGAAAGGGCAAAGACAGGCGATCAGCGCCCACTGCCGATCTTGATGCACTGATGCCAGGGAATAATCAGTCAGTCTTCAGGGCACTGACCTCGGATTCTCATCTGTTAATGAGCAATACAGTGAGAGGCGGAGTTAACCACGT